ATAAACCTCTCAGGAGCATGTCAGCTCCCCTCACAGAAAGGATAAATCTGTGAAGGGGAAGTAGCAGGTTACTTGAGGCTTGGGTTTGAGGGCAGGTTTGGACACAAGTGTGTGCAGAATCTGTGACCTCGTGCACTGGATGTCTGGCTCGGCCTCAACATGAGGTGCTGTGAGTGAGAAGCTGCTTTGTGCCTTCTTGTTGGTGACCAGGGAGCTGCTGCTCACTCTTGCTCTGCCCTTGCCAGCTCCTGTAGTGTTTGGTGAGTAGGTGGGTGGGTTGGAGCAGTCTCTGCTAGTGCCAGTGTCACTTAGCACTCCTCTGAGCTGCTCAGGAGAATGTCTGGTTTGGTTGCTGTGCCTGAGCCAGTGTCTTGGCAGGGTCTATTTGCCAAACACCCATTTCTGTCCAAGGCTGACTTGGGTGAGGCTTTGCATTGATGTTACATCAATGAAAAGATCCAGCAGTAGAACAGCCACAGCCACTGGGGTAGGTACTCTTGGCACTTAACACGTGGGGAATGCATAACTATATAATTTAAGAGAAGTAATTTTTATCCTTTAATTTTCCCTCTTGTCATAAGAGATTAATACTTCCCCCGTTGATTTTGTTTTTACATCCAGAACCACTGCATTTCTTTCATTCAGAATGCATGAACAAGAGTGGGACCACAGTGGCAGTAAAAATTAGACAGTGCTGCAGCAGAAGAGAAGCACTATGTGCTTGAAAGTGGGAATGAAAATACATGCAACAGAAGAGTTAATGGTGTTGAGATTGGCTTATGGAACTGCTGATGGAGGACCCATCAAATGCTAAGACATTAGTGTAACCTTCCTGAATATAAATAGGCCATTTTTTAATCTTACTGGCACTTCAAGCTGGCTGGCTGTTTGTCTAAATGTTCATGGATCCAAGTTATTTCTAATTAAAATGCCCTGAAAAAAAAATATAATGCATCACCTAGCTTGAAACTTACTTGCAGATGCACGCATGTTTGCAAGCATTCTAGCTTCTCATTTCCTTGCAGATGATAAGCAAAGTAATTAAGTGCTTATCAAATTTGCACTGTTTATTTCTCTTTTCTATTAGCTATTATTACCTCTTTCTCCCTTACACTTCTTAAATCTTTCCCCACCTTTCTCTCCTCTTCAGTGTATTTAATTATTCCTGATTAAAAGAGGGAGGGTTTAATCATGTACCAGCCAACACAGCAAGTGGCTGGTAGTATTTGGTTGTGCATGGCATTTCTGACTTGAGGTAAAATTTCTCAGTTTTTATTATTTGTAGGAGTAGCAGAAGTGCACAAGTGTTTCTTTAATCAGGTCAGAATTAATCATGATGGAGTTCTACTTCAGCCCAGTGCAGGTTTTTGCAGCATGTCTGCATTTTTGCATATCTAATGGGATTTTACAGGGCAACAACTGTATTTTAAAAAGGCAAACTGTGTCACTGCTTACTTAAGCCTCAAGAATTGAGCAGCCCTACTGAAATGCATGCTCCTCATTGTGGAGCAAGTATTTGGGCTGAATATTGCATGTTTTGGGCTTTTGTTGTGACAAAATGTATTGTTATATTACAATACACTTGAATACAATACGCTAGATACAGGAATTTTCACTATGAGTTTGTGTTTCTGCCACAATTTCATTGTCTGCATCACCTAGAAGGTGCTATTGTTCATATATTGTTCATCATCATTGCCTAGAAACCAGGGCTCAGATTTCCATGGGTGTTAAAGGATGTGCTTTGCCCAGAGAATATTCAGTTTTGCATAGAAATATGCTGTGGCTAGATTTGTTATCTTTTACCATTCCAGCTTTACATGGCTCAAGGATGTGACACAATTAACAAAATCTCTAGTTTGAAATATGGTTTAAATGTCTGCAGCATGTCCATCTCAAGCAAGCATGAGAGGAAGGAGGATTTGTTTAATGGCTCGTACAACAATCACAAGTTTGAAGTCGCTCTCTTTCCCACAGCCCCATGTGCTGGGTTGTTGGTGTGAAGACAGAGCACATCTTGAATCAGAGCACTTCTTGTAGCTTTTGTTTCCTGTAAGCAGCTGCAAAAATCCCATTCTAGAGAAGCACTCTTTTCTCTTGCTTGTGGTACCATTCTGTTTTACAGTGGATGAGCTTTACCAAATGGCTTTTGCACACTGAATGCAACTAATATTTGCCAATCTAGTGGGGATCATGTGATGCTGACAACAAAATTGGTTCTTAAGGCCACCTGCTATTTTTGCATTAAAGGTTTTTTTTTCAGCTGTTGCTGTTTTTGCTGGACTTTGTATTAAGGCTGTGTGTGTGCATGTGTAAACCAAGCAGAATGAAAGTCTGAACAGCTGCTGAGGAACTGGGGTTGTGCTGAAATGATCTTATCAGGCAGGTCTAAGGAAGGGCTGCTGCTGCTGGGAGGAGCTGTCCTGTCCCTTTCCAGCCATATTCCAGCTGTTCCCTGTGCAAGGAGCAGTGCTGGGGCTGCTGAGTGAGGCCAAACCCACCCAAAATGCACTCCAGCTGCCACCTGCCCCACTTCTGCTGCTCATCTCACAGTGCAGTGCAACAAGGGCTGGTGCTGGCCAGGGGAAGGAGTAGCCAGAAGCAGAAGCTGGAGCAGAAGGTGACAGGGAGGGGGGACCGTGGCTGACCACAGAGCAACTCTGTTTTCAGCAGCAGCTCTATTTGACTGGGCGTTATGTGATTGTGAGTGATAACATTCAACAGGTGTGAATGCCTTGATAAAGATGTGCGTGCAAAGCAAGTTCCCATTCTGGCCACTGCAGAACCTCATTTTCTTAGGAAATCCTTATAATAAATAAGATAGTATTTTGATGGAGATTTTTAGCCTTGGCCTGAGCAGTTGACACAGCAGTGCCCCTTACTGAGCTGCACTTGGAGCTCTGGATTTTGCAACATGTTGGCTGATAAATCTGCAAACCAATTAGTTTTCAGTAAAGTCTAAGCCTTCACACTTTGACCCTCACTGCAAATTTATAACTGATCTGAATATAGATTTTTAAATTGTGTGCAATTGCCTACCCAATTTGTACAACCTACTGATCCCACAGGAGTTACTCCTGAATTTGTTTCTGAATTTAGAATTGCCCATTTAGAGTGCAAGCTGCTTCATTTGTAGCAGTATTTGTATGGAATTCTGTAGGAGAGGGAAATCCAGCCTGTCAGCTCTTAGGTGGAGACAAGGAAAACTTGCTGGTCCAACTCCCTGTACCATCAGCTTGGTCTTTCTAAGCACTTTCAGAACTCCCAACCCCAGGAGAGACAGATATGGCACTTGAAGTACCTTTTTGGGCTTTGAGGAATGCTGTGGGACAGAGCTGTCACTGCTCTAGTACAACACAAGTTTTTGGGGATGGGGATGACACCAAAGGAAGCAGACTCAAGGAATCTCTGCCTGAGATTGCAGGCATCTGAGACCTTGCTTCTGTAGATTATCCTCATCACTCTGGAACGGCCACCTTTATGTTCTGGGAGATCCCTTGCTACTGGGATGAACCAGAAGAGGGGAAGATGCTGTGCTGCTGCTGTGGGTGTTGTGCATGCATTGTCACCTGGGGCTTTGGTAGCACGGATTGTTATCTCACCGTGGACCTCTGCAGGAATCTCTGTTGGGAGAGGCAGCCTCTGGGTGCAAGGCTACCTCAGTGTCCAACAGGAAAAATAGGCTCCCAGGAAATAAAGAATAAATACTTGAAAGTATTGTTGGAATCCAGGAAATGCTGAAAAATCATTAAGCAGTAGTTGTAGCATCCCTTTCCATTGCTGTACAGGCTTGGCTGTATCTTGGGGTGGGTGGGCTTTGCAGTGGGAGAAGAAGTTGGATGGGATCAGAGGGTCCAAACTCTGCAGAGTAGTTGTTGTTCAGAAGCTATAGGAAGATCACCTCATGAAATGTTGAGTGGGTTTTGGATTTGCTTTTTACGGAAACATGCAAAAAAAACCCCAGCAAAGGCATGAAAATAGAAAGGGTGGTAAACAACAACAGGAAATAGAGATGCAGAAACTCTACCCTAATTTTCTTTTTTTTAAATGAAAATAATTATGACAACACCACGATAATTTATTAATGGGCTTTCTTCCTTTTCCTTGCTCCTCCCACAAAACTGTTCTGTAGTATTTTGGATTCAGAGGTACATGAGTATTGACCTAAGTGAATCTCAAAGTCCTTCATATTATCCTTTGAGGTTTTTGATTGTGTTCACAGAACCAATTGCTTTTAAGCTGGAAAACTAGAGTGCATGGTTTTGGCTTCCATAATTTACATTACTTACTGTAATAAGTGCTTTTATTACAGTTTCCATTGTCTGAATATGTTTTACTTTACATTTTCTTCCACATTTCTTATCAATAACAGCATATTGATCCTATGAATGAGAATAAATTCCATTCTGCTAAGAAAGAATTTCTCTCTGGTTTTGTGCTGTGCTCTTTTTTTTTTTGGTGTTTTTTTTTTTTTTAACTGCTTATAATAGGGTCCTTTCCTACCAAAATAGACACAATTAGTTTAGCTGACTTTTGGATCCTTCCACCAAGTAATTAAATAAGTGTTCTGAATATACAGCATTTTGTACACATTTTGAATACAGAAATAGAATAGATGAACAAAAATGCTGGTCCTGTTGAACCAGCTGGTCCAGTTCTGTTGAACAAGCAACAATTCAAATGGGAAAAATATCTGTTGGGTATTGTCATGTTCCTATGGAAGAGCTCAGGCTAATCATGGTGGAAATATATTCTTCATATCCAACCCTTCAAGGTTTAAACGACAGAACAAATTTCAGTGAAAGGCAAAGAGTGCTTTTAGGATGAGACACTTTAAACATTTTAATATTCTCTGTAGGGAGTTGTTAGCACTCTAATAAATGTTCTTGTAGTCTATTCTACCCTATACTCAATCCTGTTTCTTACTTTTGTGTGTATTTATACTTTTACTTATTTATACTTATTTTCTATATAAATCCTTGTGTGTGTTTATTTTCCAGGCAGCAGCATCTGTCCAAAGCCCTTGATACTGTCCAGAGCTTGTGCAGCGGGTGCCACAGCCAGGCTTGTGGAGCAGAATGTACGCTACGACGCGGCTCAGGGAATAAATGGAAGTGTGCCACTCAGACAGTCCCCACGCGCAGCTGCAAGTCCAAAGCCACAAGGTAACTGCTCTCCAATATTTTTGTTAGGGAAGTTGTTCTCTTGGACTTCTGAGAGCAGCAGAGCACCTTGAGATAATTGTATTTGAAAGAGTTAAAACCATGGGGCATAAGCTTGCTGCTGAAATACAAATGTTCTGTAAATGCCTTGTGATTCTGTAATTTCTGGCTTATTTTTCAAAAGTCTTGCTGTATTTGAGCTGGGACGTTTGTACACTATTTTTAAACTGGAGTGTTTGACAGTCTGGCATCAAGGCAGGGGTGGTGGGAAGATGTTCAGGGTCTTTGGAGTTCTAGCAGAGATTGAGAGGAGCCTTCCTGCAGGAGTATGTGGAAAGGTGGGAACTACATGTTTGTGTACCAAAAGCTGACAGTAATGTACACAGACTAGAATCAGATCTCCTTTCTCTCTGTTTCTGTCCATATCTTTATATCAAAATATCTTTACTTTTAAAGTGAAATATTATATAGTAAATAGTATAATTGTATATAGTAAATAGTGTGTGTATATATAGTATAATAGTGTAAATATATATATAGTATAATAGTATATATATACACCTGTGTGTATATGTGTATATATATATACATACTTTATATATACACACTGTATATGCATATATGTATAAATATCTATGTATAACCATACATATATAAAATCACTATTTATATTGACTTAAACCATCTTTTAATGTGGCCTTCTTGGTAATATATTGTTGGTTCTGCTGTGGCTGATCACAGCTAAGAGTCACTACATTCCAGAAATCTTGAATTCAAATAAAATCTGGACTGATCTCTTTTAGAGGTGACAGGCAATAGGAACTTTGATTATTTTAAAAGTTAAAAAAAAAGTGAGTTTTGAAGGCATAAATCACAGTGCTGCTCAGTGCATTGGATTCTGAGACACAGTGCTGATAAGACAGAAATGAGAATTACTTACAGAAAACCAGATGTGGAGAGCTGACCCTGGCTGAATGCCAGGTACTCACCAAAGCTGTTCTATCAGTTCCCTCTTCAAATGGACAGGGGAGAGAAAAGATAACAAAAGGCTCCTGAGCTGAGGTAAGGACAGGGGGAAGATCACAAACTGATTACTGATTAAGCAACATCACAAATTTCAGGGTGCCCCCCACGGGAGACAGTTCTCCATGAGCTTCTCCAGCGTGTGTCCTTCTGTATGCTACAGCTCTCCATGAGCTGCTCCAGCATGAGTGGAGGGTGCAGCCCTTCAGGCACAGCCTGCTCCAGCATGGGTTCCCCACAGGGTCACAAACTCAGCCAGAAATCCTGCTCCAGAGTGGGCTTCTCTCTCTCTGGGTCTGCATGTCCCTGCCTGGAGTCTGCTCCAGTGTGGGCTTCCCATGGGGTCACAGCCTCCTCTCAGGCATCCACATGCTCCACTGTGGATCTTCTCCATGGGCTGGTGGTGGATCTCTGCAACCCCTGTGCCCTCCTTGGGCTGCAGGTGGGCCTCTGCGACCCCATGGACCTCCATGGGCTGCAGGTGGATCTCTGCGACCCCATGGGCCTCCATGGGCTGCAGGTGGATCTCTGCGACCCCATGGACCTCCATGGGCTGCAGGTGGATCTCTGCGACCCCATGGATCTCCATGGGCTGCAGGTGGATCTCTGTGACCCCTGTGCCCTCCATGGGCTGCAGGTGGATCTCTGCAATCCCATGGATCTCCATGGGCTGCAGGTGGATCTCTGCGACCCCATGGGCCTCCATGGGCTGCAGGTGGATCTCTGCAACCCCTGTGCCTTCCATGGGCTGCAGGTGGATCTCTGTGACCCCATGGGCCTCCANCTTCCATGGGCTGCAGGTGGATCTCTGTGACCCCATGGGCCTCCATGGGCTGCAGGTGGATCTCTGCAACCCCTGTGCCTTCCATGGGCTGCAGGAACACAGCTGCCTCACCATGGGCTGTGGGGGAATCCCAGCTCCAGCAACTGTCCCCCTTCTGCACTGACCTTGTGTCTGCAAAGTTGCTCCTCCCACATATTGTCACTCCTCTCTTCTCAGCACAGTCATATCTGTGCAATAACCTTTTTCCCCTCTCAAATGTGATATCACAGAGGTGTTACTCCCTTCTCTGATGGCTCAGCCTTGACCAGTGGTGGGTCCATCCTGGAGCTGGCTGGTATTGTCTCTGTTGGACATGGAGGAAGCTTCTGGCAGCTCTTCACAGAAGCCACTCCTGTTGTCCCCCCAGCTACCAAAACCTGGTCACACAAACCCAGTAGTAGAGCACATCTAAATCAAGTACAGAAGCTAGAATCACACAGAGTCATCATGTAGTGGAGTCAAAAATATCTGTATCACTCAATGGGAAAATGCACCTTGAAGAATTTTGCATCAGTCCTGAATTTGTCTTAGAGTTAAGGGCAGGAAGAAATTCTTAGAGGTGTCAAGAAAGTTTTGTTTCCTTCAGGAGAATGAGAGCAAAATAAAGCTGGTTTTCTGTTTGTTATTTGTTTTTACAGAACGTTTGCCAGTATTGTTAACTAAACTAAGACTTTTTGCCAGTCATATGTAAACATTACTTGTTGAGGAGCCTTTCTGCACCATTTCCTAGGTCTCTGGAATTAATTCTCTACAGCAAAGGGAACATTTGCTCTTCCTAAGAAAAATATTTTAGAAGTAATTAATGGATAAATAGAAATGTGCTATCAATAAAAAGATTTAAAGCCTTTCAAAAACAGCGCAAACATACTTATTATAAAATTTTAGCTATTAGATAAATTAGGAGTTTTATATTATTGGACCTCATTCATTCAAGTTACACAGCTGTTGTTGATCTTTCCTAGCCATGTTTCCTTTTGTTTGTCAATACTGTGTGCTCCAAAATGTGCCACAGCCAGGAATAGTGTGGTAGTCTAAGAAATGCAGCTGTGTAGACAGAATTCAATAATACTGTTGTAAATAGTATTTTGTGTCTCCTTTATTCATGGCTCACTCTCCATTTAATAATATTAAGTATGTGCATCAGATGGAAGTTTTATACTGTATCTTTTGTTTGGCTTTTTATTGAATTGAAGCAAAAGAAACCAGAATTAGTGAGAGAGGCATTTGGGAGACTAAATGTTCTAAACAAACTAGGCTGCTCTGGTTTATTGGTTTAAAAGTGGCCACTGTTTTTTTGAAGAGCTTTCATGCAGAGGTACAAAAATGTTTTTTGTTTTTAGCAGCAGGAAACATTTTTCTGTATGATTATTCTAGTCATGCAAATACTAAGTGGCCTTTAATAGTGAGAGGAAACAAGATGACAGACCTGAATTGTAATGCCAATGTATTTGGTTGTGGAGGAACTAACTGCAAAATGACCTTCATCTAACCTACCAAAATAATTAAAATGAGAGATATAAACATGACTTTGAAGTTGTTTTGTAAGTGTGGTACAGCCATTTTCAGTAAAATTTACTTTATTAAGGGAAATAGAGTTTTAACATTGAGGAAAAGTGTTCAAAATCTTGTACTTCAAATGAACCCTATACTTTTGTCTCTACTTGGTCTCTGAGAAGCAGTTAAAGTATTTGGAAACAGTTCATTTAGGGTATCTAGGTCAAGTGAATAAATTTCTGCACGCAATCCAATATAAAATTCTTTATTTTCATTTTAATTTTTCCCCCTGGCATTTCAAGGAGTAAAAAACCTGTTTGATACACTGTCAGTAATAGCAGAATTTTTGTTCTCCAATAATTCCTTCCATCAGTTTTTGTTCCCCAGTAATTCCTTCCATCAACAAGTCAGCAATTAATGTGTCAGATTTCTGTCTGGAGCAGAGTTTGATTCAGGAAAATCTTTGGAACAAATTTGGAGCAAAGCCTGAAACTGGCTGTAAAGGTGATGAGGGAGTTGAGCAAAGGAGTCAGGGCTGCAGAGCAAAGCAGTCAGAGACTGTGTGTCTGTACCCGCTGTGTCTGTACCAGCTGTGAGATGTGCTGCTTTACCTTTGCACCAGTGCAGTGCATTCCCTGATAAAGTGGACTAATCCACACTGGAGGCAGTCAGTGGAAATAGCAAAATATGCTATCACATATGAATCCACAAGAGAGGAAGTAAGTTGTTAAATAATTTGAAATTTGCCCTTACCTACAAATATTTGGGTAGTCATCTGAACCTTGCAATAGCAGAGTTCATGTAGAGTAACACATAAAAAATTGTCTTTTTTCCCCCTAGTTTCTTCTATTCCTGGCTCTTTGATCCTCTTGCATCAGTTCTTTTATGATGTCAAATTGCTAAATACTGGGCACTGAAATTGCTGTCTGTACCAAGCAGTTTTATTGAAGGATGCAAAATATGTGGAAATGCCAACACTTCTTCAAAGCAGTGAAGTGCCTTGTCAGTTCAAGACTGTGCATCAGTTGCTCATTTAAATTTTTCTAATGAGAGCCTAGGAGTACTTATGAGTCTCCTGCTGAGGCTGGAGAGGCATTTTTGTTTGGGTTGGAGGTGAATTTCCACTCCAAAAGTTGGCCTGGTTTGTGCTACTGTGAAATGATTAGGATGCAACAGATTCAACACTTAAACTTTGGCATTCAATTTTAGCTGCATATCTGCTGTGTAGCATGAATCCTGCCTTCCTTTCTCAGTTATTATATAGTCTGTGGTTAAAAGCTGACAGTGGCCTGGGCTTTAAAAAGCTGAGAGACCTCTTAAAGGTCTGAGATATAGCCTCTACTTCCCTGGCAAATGAAACTAAATTGAATGGAAGTGAGTGGAACTAAAACTGACAGCTGTTCCTAAGTAGGCTTCTCCAGTCTTGGTGGTCCTTTAAGAAACCTGCTACAAAGTCTCTTTTAAACTAAAACTAAAAAAATCCTCAAATTATCTCAGTGAAGACGACAAATGAGAGAACAAGAGACATCTGATTATTCTTGGTCTTCTCTCTTGATATACAATTGAAAGATTCTTCTTGTGGCATGAACCAAAAATGTGGAAACACACATCTCAAAGACAAGATGATTTTTTTTCTCTCTTTCTGCTGTGTTTAGGTTACTGGTTACTTCATATTGCTCTTAAGAGTATAAATCTTTGGCATCTATTCAGCAGTGCTTATTTGATATTCCTGGTGATGATGGATGACTCAGCCAGGAGAGCTGTAGTTGCTTACCACAGGAACTTTTAACTTCATTTTCATTGAGTCAAGGCATAGCAGCATTTTTAACCATTGAACACATTATACTTTCTAAGACAAGAAATTAATTACCTTTGCTGATATGCTTTGGAGTCTGCAAAGGTGGTTGTATCTTTTGGGCCATTTATAAAGCATTACCTGACATTGCCTTATGTATATATGCAAAGTTGAATGCACAGGCAGGCACTGCAGCATAAATCTTGATTTTGGTAGCTGTGTACAGTATCTGCTACCTCAGTATATGGAAGGGTTTTCTTTGGGCAGAATAAGGAGTTCATATCTCCTAATGAGCTCAAAATTCTGCAGTACAGAGGCAAAAGTATTTATAGACTCAAACAGAGCTCTGTATTATGCAGGTTACTACAATAGGGCAGTCTTTTCTCTTTTTTTCCACTTAAGATCCTTGCTCTGTGCACACTGAAAAATAATCTGATTAAAACAAAACACTACAGAAGTACATTGAGGAAAGAATTAATAGAATTTGCTTTCCATAATCCCTGTTAACAAGGCTGACCTTACAGGAAGGTTTGAGGGTTGTGGATTGCTTTTTTTTTACACTACTGATTCTTTTCTTTCCATTGATCTTGTGACTATTCTTTCTCCATGGCACTATTTCTGAACTCTACACTAGCTACAGCAGCAGCTGGTAGGGGAAATGCAGTCTGGTAGGTGCTGATAGGGAGTAAGAAATAAAATATTTTGCTTAAGTGAATTGACTGCTTGGTTTGTGGTTGTCTTCTGAAGACATTAAAGTGATTTTCAGTATATGGGGATTGTCCAGTTTGACAAGAGGTTCCTCATTGCTTGCCATATGTGCTTAGCTGTGGTTTTTCAGCTGCAAAAGTTTGTGACACTTCCACAAAATGTCCTAGAATTTGATTTTTGTCCCAGTGGGTCCAGTATAAAAATAGCTGCCAACTAATTCCTTCTGCTTTATCAGTAGACATCAATTCCCTCAAATTTAGCAGTTTTAATATATCCTTGTGAGGATATTAACATTTCATGAGATGTACAGAAGAATTGGAGAGCTCTACGAGTCCATTGCATAACAGATCTCCCAGGGCTGGGGGTTATACAGAGTCCATTGCAAGAGGAAGGAGTGTTCCTACACATTGCTGTGGTGCTGGTCAGCAAATCCACTCCGTGTCCCCTTTGCAGTCCCCCTCGTCCCCGAGGGGATGTGCTTGTGATCAATGGTGTGTCCTGCTGTTCCCCAGCCTGCTGGTGTCTCCCTGGCTCAGCTGTCCCATGGCTTTGTCAGCACAGGGAGCTATTCAGTGCTGGGACAATTACGGGATACTCGCTGGCCTCATTCTGCCAGGCCTTGCCCGGGATCCCTGGGGAGAGGGAATTTGGGGAAAGCTGTTCCACTGCACTGCAGCTGCAGCAGGGCTGCATGGGGCTGCTCAGGAGGGGCTGCAGACACTGAAGCAGTTGCACAATTTAATAATCTGCTTGTTTCAGGGTTGCAAATAACTGTTTCAAAAGAGCAGCATTACTGCATCCTTCCCCAAACTTGCTTTTTTTGCATGCATTAATAAATATAAAACTTCTGAGGACTGAGGATGCACATCTGCACAGCAAAAGCATCTGACCTACAGTAATTGTCTTCCTTCTCCCTCTCATTGTTTCGTCTGTCAGCCTTTGCAGTTGATAGGATTGAAGTCTAAAGCTTTTTATGGTAAATTCATTTCTGCATAGAGTCTCTCATGGTACTTTTCAGACTGTAGTGATCACTGCAATCCCATTAAACTGCAATTAGGTTGTTGGAAATACAGACAAATATTGCCTCCTGTATTACCTATAAATTAAATGAAGGGAAGAAATGAAAAATTGCCCTTAATCACATGTAAAACTTCTTTATAAACTTGACAAACTTCTTCAAGTTTATCACCATCTATGATTAATATATTTGAAAGAATTTCTTAACTTCCCTTTCAAATGTTGGTTGATGGGATTTTAGATCATTCCTGTGGTGCATGGGTTTTCCCGGATAAGTTAGGAAGATATTCTGGCATCAGCAATGCAAGGAATTTAGTTTCGACATCCACCTATTGTGTATCCTGTACTGGAGCTTTTGTCCCTACCACAAGAGTGGTAAAAAATGCCAGTTCAAGTCCTCCTTCCCTTCCCTTGCTCACTGGCAGGTTTTCCAGTGCCCCAGTGGAATGTGGTGCTTGTGGAGCAGTGCCTGAGCTCCTGGGGCACTGGTTCCACTGGCAGGATATTGCCTACCCCTGCCAATTTATGCCTGCCTTTCAATTACTTTTTTCCAAATTCATAACAAATGCTTTTGCTGCTCCCACGGTATGTTTTGGGGATGTGTGTGGGAATGAGCAAGTGTTCTCGGGAATTAAGGTCCTTTTCCATCAAGTCTCTCCTTTTGATTGAGCTGGACATTCATTGCTCCAATCTGGAATGCATTTGGGCCCAGACTGTGATGTGCTTTTGTTGCCCACAAATGCTGCATGGTTGCTTAAAGTTAAAGATTTTAGTGCTGTGACTTCGGTTGCTTTATGTGTCACCTTGCCTTTTGTGTTCTAGTCACTGCTCTATTAAGCAGTGGCTGATCATCAACAATCTAATTAGAAGGACTTATGGTAAGGATGGGGAAAAATGAAGAATAAAAAAAATGTTTTCAGGAGGGAAGGTTTTCAGCAGTATAATTAGACAAAGGTTCAGTGAGTAAGGGAATTTTAAAGCTGCAGGCAAATACCTTTTCTACTGATGATTATTACTGAGGTCACAAGGGATAAGGTAAAGAATGAGAGCACCAGAGTTTTGGGGCAGCAATTTCCTTTGTCTTTCCTTTGTGCTTAATTCTTTTTTATTACAAAATCTGCAATCATAAACTTCTCATATGTATTTACTACAATACACTATGAAAACAAACACGCAGAAGTAAAACAAGAAAACTCCCTAATTTTCTAGCTTGTTAAAGTAGCATATGGTTCAGCTTTTAGTCAAGAAATATAACAAGATCCTTAATACCAAACAGTGAATGAAGAATTATATGAAGTCCCTGTATTTTTAAAGCAGCTTTAAGGTTAAATAAAGCCAAGAGTATCTCTTTTTCATTGCTGCAATGAGTTCTTTATGCAAAAATCTCATTTGTGAGATTAAGCTGGTCTTGCAGAAAGTGTCCCTGCCCATGGCAGGGGGTTTGGAGCTAGATGATCTTTAAGGTCCCTTCCAACGTAAACCATTCTATGATTCTGTATTCTAGAAACTCAAAGAAATACAAGTGATTGATTTTTTTGGTTGTTGTTGTTCTTTGCAGTGCCTCCAAAGCCAATTCATCTGCAGAAGGCAACATACCAAACCCCTAGGCATAAAGCTTTAACAAACCAGAAACCAAGAATGGAGGAAGAGACACCTGCTGCTGTTTCTAGTGTCACAAAGGAAAAGTCCAGTAAAGTGTCAGATCTCATCAACCGGTTTGAGGGAGGCAGGTATGTGATGGAATTTGTTTTGGTTTGTAACTCTGTTTGTTGTGTGGGGATTTTTGGAACTTGAAGCTGTTGATGCCTTGTGAAGGCTGACCTAGAACAGAGGCTAGATGGAGTTAAAGAATAAATCAGGGACTTACTAGAAGGCCTCAATGGATCCACCTGGGGCAGCACAAGAGCCCAGCCAGGGCTACACCCCAGATGAAGCCAAAATGGTCACAAAATTCGTGACCAGTCACTTTGCTAAATTCTGGTCCATTGGCATATTGGAGTTAATTTTCCAATTATAGCTTCGGCTTATGAAGTCCCATCCTTCTTGTTTTTCTCTCTTGAGTCCACATTGTTTATGCTCTTGGGCCTGAAATTTGGATCATTTGTCCTTGGTCCCCAGCTAGAGAAGGAATTGTTTTGTTGCCCTACTCTGCGAAGAGAGCTCACCATCCCCCAATATGAGGCTCAGAACTACACACCAAAGCAGCACAGAATCTGAAAAACATAAAAGCTGAAACCTGAGAGGCATCACTGTGAGGAAGAGCATTGGTACTGTGGTAGAGCTCAATCCTATCTCTGCTAAAGGACTTGATGGCAAAACTGCATGTGTTTTGAAATAGTGGGAGCCAGTTGTATATTTGGCTTAACAAGGTGTGCTTTTTCATAAGGCTTTTTCATTATTCCTAATTTTCCTTTAAAAGACAAAAAAGAAACCTGCAGTATTTTAAAAACAACCTGGAAAATGTCAGCAATTTGAAATAATTTGAAGCTAATTTGAATATTTTATAATGTCAGCAATTTGAAGCTAATATTAAATACTTCTTTTCTTGAAGGAGAAAAAAAACTTTTATGAGCAAATAGAAAAACCTGAAATACTGGTTTTAATTTCATACCGTCTTAACTTCTTCAATTGTTCATGTGAAGAGGGTGAACTCCACAAATTATTTGTAGTGGTATGGCATACATTCCCTAAGTGGCTTGCTTTGTAGTACTTGGTGATTTTGGTGGAAAAGCTCATTGTTCTTGAGTTTCAATTCTGTGGTTTATGGGAAACACTTGGAACTTTGGGAAAAAAGAACCACAGCCTACACTGCTTTTACAAATGGTGTTTCTTGGGTGTTTTCAATTAGATGCACATGATGTATCTCTAAGTGGAGGCATTATAAACTCTGAAACAGAAGTTTCTAATATATCTGCTCTGTACAAAGAGACAGACTTTCCAGAAGGCCCATGGCAGAGGAACAGAAACTGTCCAGTAAGAGTTGAGCATTGCAAGGTTTGGATGTGTTTTTATATGTTCCCTTGGGACATGAAATCCCTTGGATCTCAGAAGGGAGGCCCCCTGTGGGAGTGAATGAATGATGCAGAACAGAGTACATGAATGCATGACCTGCTGTGGAGCCAGAGTAAAAAGGCTTTCATTGAAAGAATTTCCCCTCAAGATGGGTGAAATTTAATCCTTTATATGGAAGCAGCTGAGCATTGCAAAAGTGTTTTTGTCCATTGGAATAGAAATAATTTCAGGGCTTCATCTGCAAGAAACTTCTGTCATTAGGCAGAGACTTGGTGAGGACAGGTTCTCAGAGATGGGAAAACAAGATTACTGCAGCACTGGAGGTCATGTGAATTCTTTTAGCACTAGTCTCTAATCCTGCTATCACTCTGTTTTCCAGTCTTCCTCCAAAGCATCACCCAGCTTTTAAACAGTGCAGTATCCTTAGAAAAATAATGTTAACCTTTCTGAAAGAAAACTCTTCAGGTTTGTTGTGCCCTGCACCACTGAGCCTTACATTTCTTCCTCCTAGACCTGCTTGCTGTGCTGTGCAGGAGCTTCTTCCATATTATGCAATCAAAGGAAACTATAAAGAGAGAAATTACACTTTCTTGTTGATAGACCTTTACAAGTAGGGACATTTTGTGGACTATGGGAAGCTGAGGGTTTTTTTGGCAGCATCATTTATTAGGTACACCAGTAATACCTGTCCAATGACTAAATTCTACTCAAGTCTATGATCTCTGCTTATGAGAAACTTTCATTATTAGCATGCTGGGTTCTGGATTATCCTGCATAGCCAGTGGAGGTAATTCCTGTTTTTTTGAATGAGCTCAACCCACAAAATATGTCTTCTGTGAAGCTGAACTTCAGTTTAATTAAGGATCTTGAAATGGCTAGGTAGCATGTTCATGAACTGCAAACTGTGATTGTTAACTATAATAACTTATTTTCATTAGTCTGTACAGCCCACAAGCATGTAGGCATGTCAGAAAGTTAATTAAACCTCTTTGTGCAGGCAACTGAAAAACATATATTAATTTTATCCTGGAGTTAAGTTTATTTAATAAAAAAAATGTGTAGTCTTTTCATAACTAAAGAAAAAGTGATTTAAACTTTTGTTTTTGTTATATGATGGAAAAAGATAAAGCTAATGTAAGTTATTTTTTATCTGTGTGCACAAAAGTGCAGAATATGTTTGCAACATTTGTGTAAAGTATCCTATAAATAAGGAGTAAAAGTAATGTTTGTAAGCAGTTTTCATTCTTCCAGAAGATGGAAGTCCATACCAGGAATAGTTAGGGGACAGTCAGGAACAAGAGATAATATGTTTAAAGCAGAGACAAATTTTGGAGAACAAAGATCTTCAGAAAAGATGCAGCATGAAAAAAGGACATTGCTAAGGAAACAAAGGAAACTGGAAATGAGAAAAAAATGTAAAGGTCCTCATATAATCTGAACTAAGGAAAGGGATGCTAAATGTTCTTGATTGATTTTATTTGATTAATTTTTAATAATTAAAGAGCTGTTAGGGAATGGGCTATTTGTTAGTTTAAGCAGTGGACTAGGACTTGGGAAACCACAAGCCTTGCTCCATTTCTGTCAATAACCTTCTGGGACACTTTGGGCAAGCTGCTTCATCTATCAGTTTCTTGGTTTCCTGCTCTGTTTCATGGAGCTAAGAATAGAAAAATTTAGGTTGCAAAAGATGACAGTCCAGCTGTTAACCCAGCACTGCCAAACCACTAAACCACCTCCTCAATTGCCACATCTTCACATCTTTTAAATACCTCCAGGGATGGTGGCTCAAAGTCTTCCCTGGGCACCCTGTTCCTATAGCCATGATATTTTCTGAAAAATCCTTTTGTTAGGATTTTTCTCCTGAGGAGCTGAGAGGCCTCAGGAACAAAATCTAAACAATGGTTATCTGCTGCTGTGGAATGCAACAGGTGCATCTGTGATTGGTCTCATGTGGTTGTTTCTAATTAATGGCCAATCACAATCCAGCTGTCTGGACTGTCTCGATCGTCACAAGCTTTTGTTATCATTATTTTTCTATTCTTAGCTAGCCTTCTGATGAAATCCTTTCTTCTATTCTTTTAGCATAGTTTTAATATAATATATATATCATAAAATAATAAACAAGCCTTCTGAAACGTGGAGCCAACATTCTCATTTCTTCCCTCATCCTCAGACCCCTGCAAACACCACCACATGTTCCAATGCTCGATGGCCCTTACAGCAGAGAATTTTTTCCAAATATCCAATCTAAATCTCCCATACACATGGGATTCAAGACACATAGGGATGCAATGGCTCAGAACGGGCAGAGGTCTGGGTTTCTGGCAAGAGAAGTTTGTTTGTAAGTGTTTTATTGCATTTCAGGTCTCAGAACTTCCTAATATCAACACAGGAAAAAGAAGATTTTTTTGTGAGAAATTGGTTATATGGTGCAATTCTCCTATTTACCATACCAGGATTTTCTATAAGTTCATATTTACCTCTCCTCTCATCAATGCTTTGTTTGCTTGGTCTTTTTAGCTCACTGAACCCTAACGACTTCAAGAAAGACCCCTCCGTTCTCCACATCACTAAATCTCAAGGAAGATATGGGTCCACTCCATCACCTCAGCCAAAACTCCCCTCCCAGCACTCACTACAGACACAGGGAACCAGTGACACTGACAGAACTCAGGTTGCACAGCTGCCCACGGCCAACGGCGTGGCGGAGCAGGAGGAAGAGGAGCGGCGATCGCCGGAGCGCGGCTCGGCCGCGTCCACCCCGCTCCCGGACGGGGCCACGGACGGCAGCTTGACCAACGGGGAAGGAGAGAGCGCTCACACAGAGCCCCTGCCAGGTGTGGCTGCCTGCGAGGAGCAGGTGCTCAACAGCTGCCACAGGACTGCCAGCAGTGACGCGCTGCTCCCACCCGAAAACGAATCTCTAGGAATTGATGCTCATGTCAAGGAGGAGCCGGCTGAGGAAAGCAGTAAACAAGATCAACATGTAGAAATAAAGGTAAAGACAGAAATGCTTTCATTCCTGATATATTGCTACTTTCCCTATTTTCTCTAGGTTTTTATTTGCAAAAATAGGCTTCCAGGAGCAGGTCAGATTAGAAATTGGAAATATTTTGGTTATTTTCCCTCTGAAAAAAGATGAGAAAAAAATCTTGCTTGCCTTTTCCCACACTCTCCCCTCCTTTACTCTTCTCCTCATCCCCTTGGCTCTTTCGCCATTAGTTGTCTGAGGTTTAAAAAAAGTGAAACTCAAATATGTGTGCCTGTTTAGCACCATGCTTCAGCTGTGCTAGCCTACAAGGGACACATGTTAGTGATGTATATGAAATAAAATGCCATGTGCAGTAAACTGTCATGACGGAGCTTCAGGCAGAAGACTTGTGTGAATCCCTAACTTGGATGTGGTTGGCAAGTCAAAGCAGGAAAGGCAGTGGCAGTCTGCTAGTGATCAGATAGATGCAATGCTCAGGGTATACTAAATACATGACTTTTTAGCAAGGAGAACTTATATCATGATGAATTTGAGCTCCCTTGTGAGGAAGATTTTAAATGCTTAAGCGAAGTAAGTGGGTGGAAGGAAATCTGTCTTGGGAAATTAATTGCTGAAAAATAGTGCATATTTTTCACTTGTGAAAGTTTACTTGTGAGTTTGCCTCCTTGTACCAAAGCAGCAAATGTGATTAACAGTTCTGGTCCAGCCATCCCCTGTTTGGCAAGGGGAGCTTCTCCTCTTCAACACAGAGCCAAACAGCTGATGCTGGAAAAGCTCCTCACTGCTGGTCAGGTGTGCCCCTGCAGCAGCTTACTTGAGTTTGCTTAGCTGAGGGTCACATGCATACATGCCTGGAGGTAAATTCTGTGAGTGGGAAAGGTGGATGAAATATCCTGGGTAATAAGAAAGTGATGGGTTGTGTAGTTTTCTTCTTTTTATTAGGGGTTGGTTTTTTTCTGTAATTTTTTTTTTTCCAGTAATGAATGTTATGATCTCCACCTAAGCATAAGCCTGGGTACAGTCCAAGGCACTTTTGGCCTGCTACACCTGTGATAATGTTTCTATCTCCTGTTGGGAAATGCTTGTTTCCCCTCTTTGTGCCTATAAAGTGCTGAATTCTCAGTGAGCAACAATGTTAAGCTTGAATCCAAGTCACGCAGTAAGGTGCTGGGAGCATTTTCAAGAAAAAAACTGAAAAGGGAAGCAGTTCTGTTTTAAAGTTCAGGAAGGAACTGGGCAAATGCTAATGGCAGCAATCTCATTAAATTCTGTCTTGGAGCTGCTGGGACCAGCACATGTGATCTGTCTTATATTGACACTGAGTCAGCTTGTGAGCTGTACTGTGACTGTAACTAGATGTATATATTGTTCATTGGTGCTTGAAGGGTAGAAAACCAAGACATAGCCATGCAGGATGACTTTTAAGCTTGCACTGATGCAGAACTGAATCTGTAAAACGGAGCTGGGTCACAGCAACTCTTCCTGAGATACCTTGTGCAGCAAGGACTTCCCCTTTAGTCTGGCGGGGTTGAGAAGGGTGTCTGCCACCCTTTACAGAATCAAACACTGATTTAGTTTGGATTAATGCAACCTGGAGATGGAAGTCAGCCCTGTGGTGGTCTAAACAGCTGCTGCTGTGCTGTCTGAATTATGAGAATTATGATGAGCAACAGGAGAGTTCTGGTGGAGCTTTAAGCTGTTTCTGTGTTCAAGCACACACTGATAAGAAGTAAGAGCATTAGACAATCTGTGATTTTGCTAAATGCCTACTTAGTCATTATAGAATATTAAAACTGGGATGCAGTCCAGCTGAAGTTGTTCCACACAGGATAACAGCACTCTCCTGCCCTTTTGATTAAAAATGTAAGTACAGTTGAATAAAAGCAAAAGGAGCAGATGCTTGTGAGTCATAGTCAAACTTTGAGTCTGATATATGTATTTTGATGCTGATACAAAGTATTTTCTCTTGCATGTCATGTTTCTTAGTTCAGGAAAGAGCAGAAAGTGGTGCTCTCTCTCTTTGGAAATGTGTACATGTGAAGTAGAAGTAATCCTAAATCCGCAGCTGGAAGGGGTGCAAAACCAGTGTAGAAATTACTTTTTGGACTTGGAAAAGAAGGCTTATTTTGAAATAGTGTTGCTCTTACAATTATTCCCCTCTCTCTCTCTCCCCCCCAATTAGTGTAGATCTGACTAAAGACAGATTATTGCAGGTTCTGGAAAAATTTGAGCAAAATTTATTATATTTGGCAGTGATCTGAAACAATTTCCTCAAACATCTAGAGTAACCTTTATTTCTCATATTTACTGAATTAGTTGGAAGGTAATGAAACACAATCATAACAAGCAAAAAGACAATTAAAAGTTAAAACTTTCCTGCCTTGCAGCAGAAGCACCTCCTGTCATAAAAATTGGTTTGTGTAAACTGCGGAGGCTGAATAGCACAAGAACATCTCAATCAATTAACTTCCTGAACAGCATCTTGTGGGGAATCTGCTGCTACAGCTATCTGAGGACAAGAGGACAAATGTGTCAGTGTTTGCTGTGAGACTGGTAGGAAACAGGGATTTAGACTGCCTGCCACAGATGGGGGAGAATCCACTGAACATCTTTAAATAAAATCTTTATATGATGTCTTCTTTTAATGATAGTGCTCTGATGTTTCAGATGCAGAAACTTGGTGTAGATACTGGATTTCTAAATGTGGGGTGATGTTTCAGTTTAACCAGAGTAAAAGTTTTGGTTTTGCAAAGTTAATTCTCTGCCAAGAAATTTTTTAGTGTTGAAAGATTTGAGAGGTTCTACCAGCTTCTTGATTCTACAGTTTTTGGCCTTCTTTACCTGAAACAAAGCTGTGTATCTTCAGCAGCCAATATAAATTAATAAATCTTCTTGTGAACAGCCACTACTTTAGGGATACTGGAATTTTCCTGCTTTATTGGTTGCTGTGCAAGAAACAAGCACAGTGTAATTTAAATTTTATTTGTTCATACTCTACTTCTCTCACCCTGTCTTGTTTAATATATTCCTTCAAATCCCTCGGGGCAAGGGCTATGCCTGAGTAAGAGTGAATCATATACATCACTGTCATGTTGGCAGGTACAGTTTTCTTGACAGGAGATGGCTCCTGTTTGGTTTGGATAATAAGAAACTTTATACTTTCTCCAGCATTTCTCACACTTCTTCTTATTTTCAGAATTCAAAAGCACTTATTTTAATTTCTTAAGCATGCATAGTAATAGAATTATTCTAGGCATGAGCAGCTTTGTACTAAAGAACTAGATCCAGCTGACAAATTTACTGTAAGCATTGGAGTAGAGATTCAGGTTTGCAGTCCCTGCTGATGCAACTCTTGGTCTCTCACACTGTTGATATTTTGCTCCAGGGATTAAATAATGTACCTGTGTAATATAAATGTTCTCTATATAGCACACTAGCCATTTCTGCTTGGTTTTATATGTTGAGTTGCCATGTGTGCTGGATTGTCACAGAAGTTTAAAATGTTCCTTGAAATAATTGTTGCCTGAAGTTCCCCTCAACAACACTCCCTGCTTCCCCATGGAGGATGTGCTGAAAGAGAAGCAGTAGTAGAATTTTCTGCTATTTTGCTCTGATCTGACCCTGTAGGTGTGTGTTTTTGTGCTGGAATAGGAACATGGCACAGTGATTAAAATATAACTCATCTGAGATGTGCATCTTACCCCACACAGAAGATCCCTCTGTCAGGTTGTGCAACTGATGTAGAAAGGAGGTGCAGGTTCAAGAATTAAGATGATTCCAAGGTTGATACTGAAGGTTGGAAATCTGGGCTCAGCTCGTTTTATGTGATTTTTTTTTTTTTTTTTGGGTTTGTTATGCACGATTTTCCCTCTCTTAATTAGTTCAAGTAATCCTCTAAAAACTATGGATTGCTTCTATAGCACTGCTTCAGGGAGAAAGTGGGGTTCTGGGGTGAGGAAAAAAACCAAAATTACTGAGGAACCAGTAACCTCCATGGTTTTGTGCCTCAAGTCCACATGTGAGATCTTTTGTAAATGGCTGCACTGAGCAGTGTGCTGCAGCTGTAATAGCTAATCCTCCAGCTCCCTGCAATGTCTCTTGACAGCACTTAAAACACTGTTCTGCAGGTTACTGTGGTTGCTATGCTGATTTAAACACATTTAATGAACAGCTTTGAAGTCACTATTGAAAGCCTGTTTTTAGGGAGGAGGTTTGCCATGTAGCAGTGCAACTGTGAGCACTGCAGATTAGAACTGAAATATGTTGACATTTGGAATACTTATTGAATACCAAAATGGGGAAAATGCACTGAACTGCTTTAAATATAAGACTGTACTTTAATATTTGGTGTTCTTCACACAATTTTTGTAAAGGTGCTTGCAAATGTTTATCATAGTCTTGTGGGAAGCAGCTTGAAATCAGAAACCACTCAAGCTCTCCTCTTTTTTTTTTTTTTATGAACAATTTTTATGGTTTGTCTAGCAATTACCAGTTTCCCATAAGCAGTGTGATAATACTGCCATTTATTTCAGGAAGACTCTGTTGTTGTTAGATGTGAACAGACAGACTATCACTAGATCTGGAGAAAGAACCTTGCAATGGAAGTGTCAGTGTGTTGAGCCTGACACTTGCAAGCCTGAGGCATTTCCCTAATGTTTTGACATTGTAGAAGGCTGTCCTTTCATTGTTTGTTTTGGAGTAATTTTGCCCAGCAACTTACAATTGCATATTCTAACATATTTATTTTAATATTCAGGATTGAGTGCATTTTTTAAGTTTCTGTTCAGCAGAAGAATCTGAAATATATTTTGCAGAATAAAAGATTTTAAAATGAAAACTTCCCTCAAAATGCAAAAATTACTTCCATAAAGTGTCAATGAAGGAGTCCTGTAATTGCAGTCAACAGTTATTCAGCAATGAATGTATTGGTGAACATAAAACATTTTGTACCACATTTTTCAATAATTTTGCTGTGTAAAGAACACGCAGTTAAAATAATTTCTGAACTGGGGCGGGGGTGAGCACTGAGTGCTCCCATCTGTTCCCTCTCCCTCTGTAAATCAGCTCCTCCAGCTCTGAAAGGTCAGTGGTACTCAGTTACCAGGATGTGAGCTGATCTGTTGAGTAGGGAGTTTGTGCTTTGGCAAAGATCCCTACACAAACTGGAAAATACTACATCTTCTAGGCTTTGAATTTTGCTTCACAATTTGACTGATTTTAAACGTTCTCTAACTTTTGTATGTATTGATTAAACTATGGGAAATGATGAATTTTTCAAAGTTGGTGTTTATTACTATATGTTAATCTTGTATTTCAGTTTTTGGACAATAAGGTAGTCATAAGTATTTTAAAACTTTTTTATTATAATTAAATTATGTTTTCTTCAGTATCCTAAGAGTTGCTCTTCTTTTCCTCCAGGAGACAGATGAGCAGAAACGTCACAAAATTGCCAATGAGCTTCTGCAAACAGAAAAGGCCTACGTTAGCCGACTGGACCTCCTAGATGGGGTACATTTTTCTCATTTTGCTTTTATTGTGTTGCCTTGAATTCACTCAAATGGCTATGTATGTGTGGGTATAAATTACATGAGATGTTGCATGTTTTTCACAATTTGCTAATTTTCCAGTCAAATTTCTGTTGCCTCATGGTTTTGCCTTTGCTTCTATTTTAAGAGTGCTATATTTTTAATAAGTATTAGAATTTTGTGGCTCTTAATGCAATATGTTCTGTGTGTGGGGATGTCACTTTAAGCAATCATGATGGTAACCAACAAAGAGGATGGATAACCATGTTTTGGCTTCCAGTGAATTGGAGTGAATGTTGCAGTCGCCCACGCATTAGAAAATTACTAAATCCTTCTAATTTAAACCACCCAATCAGAATTTTTCTTTAGTCCCAAAGAATCTAGAAATTGCCCATTCCAAAAAGAATATCCTCTATTTTACCATTATATATTTAGAAACAGAAATTACTTTTCCTGCAAGGAAAGGGTTGGACTCATGCTTTGTACAATCTAGCTGATATTTCTTAAACCTAAAAATCTGGACTTAAGAATTTTCCTTCCTAAGTCTTGTTTGCTTTCCACATAACACATATACACTTTACTTGGATGTCTCCAGCTTTGCATTGCCTTACTACAGGATATTTTTCTCAGGTCCAGTGCAGAAGTGCTGTCCAAACAGTTGATGAAAATTAAAAAGTCTCAACTGATACAATAATTGTTCAGGCTGCTTGGGGATCTAAGTAATTGTCCTCAAGAAAGTGGATTTACGCAGCAGACCTACATTGTGATGGATGTATGGTAACTTTTGAAAGCCAAATTATTGCTGGGAAAAAAAAAGTGATTTAGAGAACTTTAAAAATAAAAAAAAATGTTTATTTCCTGCATAGATTTCTCTGATGGGTAATGTACAATTATTTTCCTTGATGACTTTTTAAGTGCATTACTGCTATGTCTGTTTTTCAAATATTAACTGGAGAAAATTCTGAAAAATGAGTTTCAAACACAGCTGCTCAACTGCTGCTACTGAGAGGAAAGCAGAAGACTAGGAGGGGACTGTTATATTTCTGAGCTTGGTTAAAAAGTTGTGTAATCTTTATGGTCTTCAAAGTAACTAACTGTCCTGTTGGCAATGCAGCAGACTGGGCATGTTTTAGAGTGTATGTGGCAGTACATGGCATTTTTCCTTTTAAGACACTCCAACTGTTTCAGTTGAGGTAATCAAAGTTGCTGTCTTCAGAATCTTTTTTTCTTTTGCAAGCCCTCACCCAGACTTTTGAAGCCTTTTCTAGGGATATGCAATCTGTTCAAGCATGGGAGAGGGTGGCAGAGGGACAAGAGCTCTCCAAAAGCATTTGTTTTTGTGTGATGTGCATATTAACAGATGCACATTTTGTAGCTGCACCTAGTCAGATTGAGCCCACTGAAGGAGAAAAAATACATTTATTTTTAAAAGAGACTATAGTCCACTCAGAACTGGGTCCCTTCTGTACTTTAAATGATATGTGGGGACCACTCATAGTCTGCCAGCTACTTTGATTTCGAAAGGATTGGGGAATACAGCATTCAAGGAAAGTGCTGGGGCTAATGGTGATCAGACATCATGCTAATTGCAAAGAACAGAAGAGTGGAAAATCCTGCTGGAAGACTGGGGAAGCTGAGATGATGTAGCTGCTAAAGCAGACAGGATGAGATGTCTGGAGCTGCTCCCAAATGGCACAGCTTCAGCTTGGCTCTCCTTGTGTCAGCCCTGCCTGCAGTGCTCTCCTGCCTTATGAGAACAAAAGGAGGGGTGTCAGGAGAGGAGAAGCATTTCACTTCCAGAGAGGGAAAGGCAATGAATGAATTCATCACTACCCATCTGTATTATTGAAATGTTAATCTTGCCTCAGCTGGAGCAGGAGGGGTGGATGGGTAGTCTTCTATTGGTTAAACATAATGGCCTGATAGGTTTGTGGCTCTTTTTCTGTATTGCAGGTATTCTATTCCAGACTCCTTGAGGAAGCCAACAGAGGTTCATTTCCACCTGAAGTGATTAATAAAATCTTTTCCAACATTTCATCGATAAATGCCTTCCACAGTAAATTCTTACTTCCGGAACTTGAAAAAAGAATGCAGGAATGGTAAGAGACAATTCACTGGTTAATACACTTGTAAAACTGTGTCTGTGAAACTCTCTTGCAGGGTTGAGGTAGGGAAAGTACTTCAAATTAGCTCTCCAGGCCCAGGAACCACAGTGAGTGAGGGAACATCTGCTTTTCCACTCTTCCTCAGGATCTGACTCAGCAGAGGACTGGTATCATTTGCTCAAAATAAAGGACATGGATCATGAGTAATCTCGCTGAAGGCAGTGAGATTGCTCATGAGCTTGCTAAATTAGGGGTTCAGACTCAAATCATGTGCTACCTGGTGAATTTATTGTACAGAGTACAAAGCTGAGGTAAATAGCACATATGTGGTTTATGATAATGCTGAAGTACAGTAACCTCTGTTATTTCCTTTTGTAATAAGGTGGGACAGAATCTTCTTCTTCTGTGTTTTAGTTTTCTTTTTGAAATTAAAATCCATGCCAGATATATTTTAGGGCCATTTTTCCCTCAGCTTTTCTTGACCTCTATTTGGAGCCAGCAAGGATAGATCAGGTGTAAATACACTGTGTAATACTCATGTACAAATGTGGTATCTTTATCTTGCCTTGGTGTGTGTGTGTGATTCTGGACGTGTTAAAACACAGCCATACATTTTTGATCTCTTCTATGTAATTCAAAAAAAAAGAAAAGGTCTCAAACCATTGCTGCTTCCCTACCTTCTTTGGGAAAAAGGATAACCTCATTTAAAAAGAAATTGTAGATACAGTTTCATCCAGTCATTTCAGCAGTTGTTTGGCTCCTATATTCTATGTTATCTAGAATTTATTATGAGGAATTCAAGTGTTTGTCCATACATAATTTCCAGCTACACTATCATATAGCTCCTTTATTATCAAAAAACCACACCAAAAATGAGGGGGGGGAAAAGCTTTTTTGTGATATATATGAAAATGTTAGATTTTAAAGAACAGTGGTGCTTTAGACAGCAGCTGTACATCTTCTGACTCTGTAAGATGATTCCCCTTTAAATGATGATTCCTTAAAATAGAATACTTCACATGCCCAAACACATGGTACCTCTGGGCAGTCTATAATGCAAAGAAGAAATAAAATGCCAGCATTGTGACATATAAGAACTTCCCTGCAGAATGGCTTGAGTAAGTAAAAACTACCCATTTCTTTTAACAGAAGTTGAAAAAATCTGATAGAAAATAGGAATGCCTGGATTGCACTAGAGTGCATGTCCACGAGAAGAAAAAACAGCTCACACCACATTATGGCAGTGCTGTGTGATTTGAAATGAGATTCACAGTGTAATCTTAAAATTCTGCTCTAGACACTTTATGGAGCACAGAATATGGGTTGCCTTACTTTACATATCTGCAAAATGCTAAACTGCTCACTGCTATGGTGTGCATAATTATATAGCTTCAAAGGTTGAAAAGTGCTTTTGCAGATAAGCTTTGACTCTTGGTGCAGAGCTAATAAATTGCATCACAAGGATATTATCTTTTCCAAATTGTGTGAATACAACCTTTGTGCTGTACCTGAGACAGCCTGTTTAAATGTCCTTGAAACACTGTGCTTTTGGGAGGAGTTAGAAAAAAGGGTGCAGTTGAAGACAGCTTTTTGTGATCATTGCTGAAAGTAAAATCTGGGCTAATTTTCTCTCCCCTTTACTGGTCTCTGAAATTGTCTGCCAATTATAATAATAGCTTCTGCCAGATACAGTCTTCTCAGAAGTTCCTCTCATTATACACAAGAAATTAAGTATGTTCTATGGGTAGCTTTATGTGCTTCTATTATTCTTTATCTTCCAGCAAAAAAACCTGGATAAAAATTTCTGACCTTTCCTTGAGTTTTGGTTTAAATTGAAAACTTAGAGTAAAAATATGTAAAAATATGTAAAGCAGATCAAATGCAAATTCTTTCTTGGAAGAAAAGGCAGTGTGAATCTAAACTTCCCAAGTGAAAGTGAAATTGTCTGGTAGCTGCATTTTGAATGAGTTGAGCAACAGCTGGAGCTGAGTATCTCTTACAACATATGGCTTGGAAACACCAGAACCAGCATTGTTGCAATATATTTCTCATGAAAAGTGTGTAACAGAGCAGAGCAGTGATCCCATGCCATGGAATCATCAAATGGTTTGGCTTGGAACAGACCTGAAAGATCATCTAATTCCAGCTCCCTTTCCATGGGCAGGGAGACCTTTCACTAGGCTATCAAACAAGATAATTAGATACAATACTCTGAGTTTTCTGGACTCGAGGATGACCAGTAGCAGGTACTTGGGAATAACATAAGAGCCCTGCATGATTTCAGAGACCAACTTCCCACCCTGTCTTATCCCCTCATTGCCAGGCCCAGCAGCACCCAGCCCTCTGCCAGGTGTTACACAGGAACTCTCTGCCCTGCAGAGGCAGCTGCAGCTGGAACAGTGTTTGACAGTCCTGCAATATTCACTTTTCAAGTATAACTTTTCTGTTCTGCATAGCTTTTCTCTCAGACAAGTGGTGTGTTGGAGTGGGCTGAAGAATTTTTCACTTTAGACCGCTGTTTTATCTGAAGATGCCATCAGGAGTTGGGAAAAACGTGGGAAAGTTCTCACAAAAGACTGGAATCCAAGGGATTATCTTTCCTTCATATGTTTCCTTAGATAATTAGTAATTAAAACCTGAATGTTAATACATATGTTTATACAAGGTACAGAGTGGAAGCTCTACAGAATGGGTTTAGCCCTCCAACTAAACCACAAGTTAGATATTTTAAGGATTAAATTATAGTCAAAAGAAGACAATGTAATTTTAAAGAACTGCAGATAAAATATATTGGGCCATGTTTTGTAAATAAAATCTTTCATGTCTTCAGTTTCTAACTTTACTTATTTGAGTCCTCCACATGACCTGTGGTGCTTATACATTATCAAAGGGGGGTAAAAACACTCTAGATTTTCTTATTTTAGTCCGCTACATGATCTGTGGTGCTTATACATCACTAAAGAGGGATACAAACTCTTTCCAGATTTTCCTATTTGAGTCCTCTACATGACCTGTGCTGCTTATGCATCATTAAAGGAGGATACCATCACTTTCTAGATTTTCTTATTTGAGTCCTCTACATGACATGTGATGCTTATACATCATCAAAGGGGATACAAATACTCTTTCTAGATTTTCTTATTTGGGTCCTCTACACAACCTCTGGTGCTTATACATATCAAAGGGGATGCAAACACTCTTTCTAGGTTTTCTTATTTGAGTCCTCTTGAGTCCTCTACATGATCTGTGGTGCTTATACATCATCAAAGGGGATACAAACACTCTTTCCTTATGAATTCAGATTTAATGCTCATTTTGGAACTCCATATGAGGTAATCCCAAACAGAAGGGTTCTCTGTAAAACGCTTGAAACCTTTTATAACCTTGAGTGATTTTTTTTCTTTCCATTTTGCTCTGAGATTCCACCCTCTTGCTTTGCAGGACCACCACCCCTAGGATTGGAGACATTCTGCAGAAGCTGGCTCCTTTCCTCAAGATGTACGGCGAGTACGTGAAGAATTTCGACAATGCGATGGAACTGGTGAAAACGTGGACTGAACGGTCCCCTCAGTTCAAATTCATTATCCAAGACATTCAGGTAATGGGGAGAATAATGGAGATCTTCAGGTGATATATAAAAATACATGTTTGTGGATGAAAAAAGGATTAAAGAGGAAATTAAATACCAAAGCCCTTAGAATTAAGGTAGTTGTTTTTATCCTCTTCACACTGCGTTTTTTCCCTACTCCTTCCTGCGTATGTGCACAACCCATCCACACAAATCCAGATTTTTCTCCTGCAAAATAGAGGAGCAAATTGTAAAGGTTGAAATAGCTGAAGATAATGAAAATAATGCATTTTGTTGTAAATACCAGAGTAAATACCATTTTAGGATGAAGTGAAAAGGCAGTGCAACCCTAGATCCCTGCACTGCATCCCATAATATTGTGTTTTCTCCCAGTAACGCTGAGCAGAGCCAGCTGAAGAGTCCAGGGAGATGCCAGTCTTCCCAAAGGCTCGTTTCACACCCTCTGGTGCTCCCTGGGGGTGTCTCTGGGAATTGGCAGTGTGTGTCCTGCAGTCTGAGCACTTAGAAATAGAATGGAATATTTCTACTTAAATTTACTGCTCTATGGGGTCTTTTGGTTGTAAGCTAGGGAAGAAAACAATGTAGGTTTTAATGCAATTTTTTTTTTTTTATAATCTAATTGCATCTAAGATTATGGAAATGAATATGCATCTTAAGATATGAGGGAGGGACACTGCTGAGGGAGTTGCCATTGTAAATGAAACTCAAAGAAAGCTTTCCCTCCTCAGATAGGTAAAACATAGCTTTGTAGTACATTAGATTGATTTGTTTATATATGTGGTCATGAACTGTTCTTACTAATTCAGAAATATTTTTCTTAAGTGTTTTACAAACCTATTTTAAATTACACTTGAGTTTAAAAGATTTTTTTTGGTAAGACTGTCAAATACTTAGACAATTTTTACAGTTATTTTTTTACAGTGAAGATTTTCTGATTATCTGGTTTGGTAAAATAGTTCTGTATTCTTTCAGAAGATCTATCATGCATGTCTCAAAATACATTGTTTATGTTTCATCAACCATTACTTTTATTTTATGGTATTGTAATGACATTTTTGCCTGCCTCATTGAAATATGTTTACAATTTTTTAGAAGGAAAAAGTGTGTGGAAATTTGACATTGCAACATCACATGCTAGAACCAGTCCAACGCATTCCACGCTACGAGATGCTTCTAAAGGACTACCTAAGGAAATTGCCTCAGGATTCCCTAGACTGGAAAGATGCTGAAAGTAAATATCTTCAGGCCATTAAATGAGCTATAATAAGATATTAGTAAGAGGTTACTGTAAATTAAAGATATTTCCAGGAAAGAGCAAGTGAAGAATTACCCATGAAAAGAATGATGGAATTTCTTCAGTGGAATCATAGCATTCCTTGAAAAAACATCTGTATGAATTGAAGTTAATTTTAAAGTCATAAAGCCTTTAGTATTCTTCTGGAGCACATAAGTTTTACTTTGGTTTTGGAATAGTGCACAGGTTTTGATTTGTTTGCTTGATCAGGGCATGTGGTGGCTTTTTAATTTATTTTTGTTGGCATTTTGGTTTGCTTTATGCACATTTGGAATGTTTGACTGCTACTTGTAAAAAAGTGAAGTTAGGCTCATTGTATTTTTAAGCTTCTGCAGGGAAAAAGCACAGCCCACTTTTAAATTTCTTCCTCTCTGTATTTACATGAGAACAGTTCAAGGTATTTGCATGGAGTGTTCAAATTCACTTGCCAGATAATTCTTTTAAATATTTCATTTTTAGTACCATTGCAGTAAACAATTATAAGATGAGCTGTTTCAACTAAAAAAATATTGTTTGACTTTCTGAACTACTTTGAGAAAAGGAGGGAGAGAACCATGACTGTTCTTGTCACAGAAAAATGTGATTCTAAGTACTTAAGTGCTACAGTAAACTGCAATAATTCTCTTCTTCTTTCCATATTATTGTTTCTATTTGGTACCTGACTTTTTTATGCCTTTCACTTTACCTTGTTTTCTTTTTATTGCTAACTGAAGAAATTTATTGTACTTTGTAATTTACATAAAAACAACAGACATTTTTGTAGAATTACCACAGTGCCCCCCCTTTTCCCCCCTGTGTAGTAGATAAATAAGTAAAAGTACAGCTTTTTGGTTTTACTTATTTTGTTTTTCTTCTGTCTAGAATCCCTGGAAATTATATCCACTGCAGCAAGTCACTCAAATAGTGCAATAAGAAAGATGGTAAATGATCCTTGTTTTCCTGATCACTTTTCAGTATATTATATTTCAATATTTGGTCAAGCTAGGAGAGTAAATTGCAAATCTTCCCTAAAATGACAAGAATTGGTTTCTTGGGTCAAAGTGATTGCTCCTACTTAATGTATTTATACAGCTCCTGGAAATGATAGACAAATTCTGTCATTGCATCAAATTCTCTCAAGTGGAAAATGGGACATACTTACTTCTCCTGGCTCAAATCACTGATACTGCACTGGACTCAACCATGTTTCGTTTGTTCTGTGAGTGCAGGACAATGTTTGTAGAGAGCAGTTACTGTTTTTCTGCCTGACTGGGCTGGGATGATAGGATCTTAATTGAAATGTGAGATGTTTTGGGCAAGAAATAATGCAGACTGTATAAAGACTGCATTTTAAAAATTACCAAGGATATAACATTTCTGAAAGTACTTCTAGCTTTATCAACTAAATTAATCAGTCAGACCACACATGCTGTGTACAAATATGTTTTCCAAAGCTTAACAGTCTCCAGATTTATGCCAGCTCCCATAATTTAATTTAAACTGCATCAAGACCTGTGCTTTCAATTAATAACTTTTATAACTGTATTTTCACCATAAAGGAGAATCTAAAGAAGTTGCTGGAGATCTATGAGATGCTGGGAGAGGAGGAAGACATCGTGAACCCTTCAAATGAGCTGATCAAAGAAGGGCAGATCCTTAAGCTGGCTGCTCGCAACACGTCTGCCCAGGAGCGCTACCTTTTCCTGGTGAGTGTGGGGGCTGCTGCTGCTGCTGAGAACTTTGAAACCCTCATTAAGCTGAAATGTAAAAGCTTAGGATCTCTGCCCTGATGGATTGGGTGTTGGGGTCCCAGTAAATAAGTCTTGTGGTTCTGTGGGAGCTTTATATCGTGGCAGATCATCCTCTTGGTGGGAATTTGAAAAGTACAACCATGCTCCCTTACAGCTCCCTTGGAAGAGGTTTGGTGGAGCTTGTTGCTTCCCATGCATTGAAAATTGCTGCTATATCTTTGCTCAGGGGTCTCTGGCATGGCCCTTCTTCTGGTTAATAAAGGGTAGTGACAAGATGTTCAGGCACAGCGCCTCCTTATCTGTGCTTCAAACAAAAGGAGAAATCATAGAATAGAAAGACTTCAGCCGGGGCCAGACAGCTGACTTAAATAATGTTCTCTTCATAAGAGAGGTGACAAGCTCAAATGTGCTGTGTCTGTGATACAGACTAGGCAATAGTGTAGTCAGGATTTCTATGAAATAGGATTCAGCTGAAGTGAGTTTTCAACTGAAGTGAATTTTTCTTTTCAGTAATTAATTTTGAGAAAAGTAAGAGGGAAAAAAAAGTGATAAAGTTAAACACTTTATATCTAATAAATATTTAATATTTAATAACTGTACTTCCAGACTGTGGCTTTAGACATTTAAACATTATCTGAAGTTCTGCTTTAATAAAGGGATATATATTTGTCCTGCTCTCTGTACTATTTTTTCCCCTTGTGATATGGAGGGTTTCAGGGAATAAAAACTTTAGGAAATGTTCTTTTGTCTTGGAGAAAAGACAAATGATGTCTTTGAATAACATCAGTTACAACTTGTACAAAACAAAATTATTTTGGTACAGGATAAATATAAATGTATACACTGTATATTTTACAGTTTACAGTAGGTTTTGCAGAATTGGAGCATAAGAACAGATTTGGTTGGAAAAGCTTTACATTGGCATAGAATATCTGGTCTGAGTATAATTTGATAATAAATACTATGATGACTGCTGCACATGCAGAACAATTATTCTTAAATTCACTGAAGCTGTCCTTGAATTTTATTCCTAAAGAAATAAGAAAGACAAGTTGTCTTGCATTAGAGCTTTGGTCTTCTCATGTGCCAGCTGATCAGGAAAGAACCTGCTTTCTCACCCACCAAGTCTAGCTTTGTGATACTGTCCAGCTCTCAGTGGACCAACTGTGGATTTATTTGTGTTTTTCTTAGTGCAAAACCACATGTTTATTTCTCCCCTCAGTTTAACAATATGTTGCTCTACTGCGTCCCCAAATTCAGCCTGGTAGGATCCAAGTTCTCGGTTCGAACCAGAGTTGGCATAGATGGCATGAAGATTATAGAAACCCATAATGAAGAATATCCACACACTTTCCAAGTGTCTGGAAAAGAGAGAACACTGGAGTTGCAGGCCAGGTAAGCAGTGTTTTTAGCCAGTTCCTTGAGATCAAATATATACACACAGAAGAGTGGATTAACAGATTTGAAGAACAAGGCAGCGGATTTCATCTTAATGTTGGTGTTTTGGAAATAGCCTAGGCTGCCAAAAATCATGAATAGTCAATCCAAGAATCTCCCAGAGCAGAAGATGCATCTAGGATGCATAGCACATTGGCTAACCTTGCAGAAATGCCCAGGATAGCTGTGAATGGGCTGGCTGGGAATTCGAGGGCAGTGCCACGGCAGCCTGTCTGACTGAGGTGTTTTAGGACACTGGGTGTGACAATCACTGGTGCCTCTGGGTCTGAGCTGCCTTGGTACCAGCGAGTCTGTTCACCTCAGGGCAGGTCCAGCAGACAGAGCTCTCCCTCCCTGTGGGTTTGCCTCCACAGAACAGAGTTTTCTGCAGAAGTAGCTGATGATCTGCTTTCCTCTGTTCCTCAGCCCCATTTCCCATCTACTCGTTTTCTTCCAGTCCCAAGTATCAACCTCCTCCTGGAAGGCAAGCTCTGCTCTTAGTTCTTGGGTCCTTTCCCTCCAGGTGCACTCATCTCAGTGGCACTTTTTCTGCTCTCCAGTTTGTTAGTCCTTGTATCCTCCTTTTGCTGAGTTACCTTCCCCTCACCTTTTTGCACTGCCTAGGCTAAATTGCCTCTGTCTAGACTCAAATAAATTGAGATGCTCCTTCTCTCCTTTTTGGCCTGCTTAAAAATCCTATTCTTAGCAGTCAGGGTTTCCTTGAAGAGGCAAGGATTAAATAAGCAAGAAAATGTCCATGCTGGGTATAGTTTTGTGTTGGCACCATGTATTTGGGGACAAAGCATAGCTTGCTAGCCAATGAACTTTCAAGCTACTTTCCTTTATGGGAAACATGTAATGTTTTATGAGAGTTACAGCAGAGAATGTGCAAAGATAATAGCATATAGGTATTTACCTACACTTTCATTCAATTTCAAATTAAATATATACTTCAAAAAATGACACAAAAAAACCCTTTCCACTAAGATCTGAAAGATGTCTGGGATAGGTTTTTGGCTATCAGTCATATCTGCTGTAAATTACTGTGTGATACCTTGCTAAATATTTTGTAAATTGTTATGCCATACACCTATTTCAATGGTGAAAGGTGGCATCTTGCTGTACCATTTCTGAAGCATGTTTTAATTAGAAGAAAATGGATACAGCACAGTAAGTTTATTTTGTTAGCTTTCCTACATTACCTATAGGAGAAATTTTATTGCATTAGTTTGTTTTAGGTGAGGGAAGCACAGATATTTATCTTTTGCTTTGTGGTCGTTGTTAGAATACATTAAGTCAGTACAAAACTGTGAAGGAATAAGTTAAATTATATTAGAAAAATCTTTATCAATATATGAGTAGTGTGTGTACCCTATGCCTTAATGTCTTTAATTAATGAGCTTGTATATACACTGTAATAATTTTTAATTTACTCTTGGCATATTCTTTAATAGGAGGATTATATTTATTTTTCAAACTCTTATTGGAATACATTTTCAATTACTGTTTTTAAACAGCTGGTAGATTATTTCTTTTGAGATGTTGTAAAGGTTCTCTTTGGCATCCTTCAGAGCAATCCATAGAAAAATAAATTTTTGTATGACTGGTATTACATGGTGCAGCAGGATGTTTTCCCCAACACATTATCCAAGGAGAAGGCAACTCTTGGAGAGCAGATATACAGAAGTGTTAATTCTCATGTTTCTAACTTTTGTCTTCTGGTTTGGTTTGTTTGGGTTTTGTCTTGTTTTGGTTTGGTTTTTTGTTTAAGTTGGACAGTTAACAATTAGTATTGTTTAAATTCTTGACATTTACTGAAGCATTACGTGGCTTTTGCAACAAGTTGTTGATAGTGGAATAATGTTTCCTAAACTAGTCTCAAACTAACATGTCAAATATTTCTTTTAGTTCTGAACAGGATAAAGAAGAATGGATAAAGGTAAATTCATCTACATTCTTTATTTGCTAAACATTTTGTCACTGAAGCAATCGGAAAAGTAATATTTGTGTTTTCTGTCTCTACCTTCTTTCTGCTGATCAATAACTGGTCAGAATGCAGAGTCTGTTTTAAATTTTACCATGTCTGAGGAATCTCTCCACTCTTTCCTTAGGCACTTCAGAGTACTATTGAAGCTTTTCAGCAGAGAAATGAAACTTTCAGAAATGCTATTGCTAAAGAATATGAAGACATGCCTGTTGAAGTCTCTGTAAGCTGCTCTTAATCCTTTGTACCCTTCTTAATACCCATTGTGTTCTTCAATAAGTGGAAAAAGTTTGGCAGAAACTTTGTTTTCATGCTCATCATTGTTAAAGCAGAGTAATCACAAAGCAGTCATCTTGTTGGTAATTGTTTTTCTTCAAAATGCCAAATCTTGTAAACAAGCCTCTTTCTTTCTTGAAACATGTAACAGAGCACCCTTTCAGCGATGCATCATGATTTTTCACTGGGTTCTTTGTTATTTCTTTTATAGATTTCAAAAAGCATCTTGAGCTATGTTTTGTAATTTCCTTTACAGAGGATGAGTAACAACGGGGTCTGGATAGCTCTGACCTGCTCGGCACAGCTGTCTGAGCTCCCGAGCAGTTCTTTGCCATAGGCAACCTTAGCAAGCTTAAGTGATATCAGCTCTTTAGTGATTGATTATCAGCTCATTGTGATTTCAGCCCTTCAGCTTGCTAGGTGCCTAGGCAGGCAGACACAAGGAGAGAGAGGAGAAGGCTGTGTGAGGTTCCACAAGGGTGTCTTTATTGAATCTTCTGCAAAAGTTCTCAGGGAGAGCTCTTCTGCCTGAGCTGGGCCAAAGCAGCTCTTTATATAGGGTACAGGGGTTTTGGAAATTCTCCAGTAGCAAGGGTTAAAGGAAAATGTTCTATAGTCTTACAGAGAGATAAGCAAGGGGTCCAAAGGTGGAAGAGAGGGGCTTCTAGTCCAGTCACCATGATTGGCATTTCCTATCTTGGGCTTCTGACTGCCAGGGAAGTCTTACAGGCTCTGGGGCTGCTACAGATGAGAATAACTATTTTCCCTATTTCAAGTACTGTGCAGCTTTTTCCTAGCTTTTAAAATTCTTTTCTCCTCCTCCTGGCCCTCCTTTAGAATGCTGAGCTTGGGAAGAGGGCGCCGCGGTGGATCAGGGACAACGAGGTCACCATGTGCATGAAGTGCAAGGAGCCCTTCAACGCGCTGACGCGGAGGAGGCACCACTGCCGAGCGTGTGGACATGTGAGTGCCAACCCCCTGCTGCAGCTGCTCAGCATTGCTGCCAGGGTCTCCAGGCACCTGCCTGGCTTCTCATTCATGGCTTCTTGGCATCCTAGAGGCTTAGAATGGCTTGGGTTGGAAGGGACTTTAAACATCACCCAGCCCCTGTGGTCACCAGTTGTTGCGGTGTTGTGGGGGTCCCCAGGATGAGGTGAGAGATGAGAATTGACTCCAAGTCAGAGAATGATGAGAGATGGGAATTGACTCCTTCTCAGAAGGCTGATTTATTATATGATGATATTATATTATATTAAAGGAAAATTATATACTAAAACTATACTAAAGAAAGAGAAAGGAGGCATTAGAAAGCTAGACAAGAATGAACAATAAAAACTCCTGACTGACCAGAGTCCTGACACAGCTGGCTGTGATTGGTCATTAAGTTAAAACATTTCACATGCTGGGTAAACAGTTCTCCAAATCACATTCCAAAGGAGCAAAACATGGACAAGTAAAGGCTTCTCATCTTGCCAGAGAAGAAATCCTGGTGAAGAGATTTTTCATTAAAAATCACAGTGACAAGTCCCAGCCCCACTGCTTTGGGCAGGGACCTTCCCACAGACCAGGCTGCTCAGAGTCACATCCAGCCTGCCTTGAACCCCTCCAGGGATGGGGCATCCATCCACAGCTTCCCTGGGCAGCCTATTCCAGTGCTGTGGAGTTTGCCTCTGCACTTGAAGCTGAAAGAAGCAGCTCTGCACACCACCAAGGACCCTCTGCCTGCTCTAGTCATTAGAAACACATATGCTTGTGTATAATGTCCCAAGGCACTGCACAAAGTATATTGTTAATATTGTAATTTTGAGAGAACTGTACTAATATAAAGAGTTTCAGGATGATATTAAGATGGCATACCAGCATTATTTCAGTATATTGTTAGTTTTGAGAGACCTCTACTAATATGAATAATTTCAAGACCATATTAAGAGGGCATAACCCAGCATTATTTCAGGCAGCACTGGCTGGCTCCACCAAAAGAACATAAAACCCTGCAGTTTTCCCTTAGGTTAAGTTGGAGCTGCTCGCAGCTGGGGTCAGTAAGTGTGAACATGTGCAAAGCATCAGGGAAGGAGGGAATGTGAGGGTGGGGAGAGAGTTTTGCTGCTGCTTTCCCTGTTGGGTGGTACAGTAACATATTCAGCTTGAAAGCACCCATCAGGCAATGGCAGTATGACTTGTCAGTTTTCAGAAGGTAACAAAAGAACAGCAAACACACTGTGCTTTCTTTGCTTGCCACCCAGCAGCTCTGCCTGTCTCCACCAGATGGTAGCACAAGCTCAGGTTTAATATCTGTGGCACAAGGTGTCTTGTCCGATTCCTTTCTAATGTTTTTAAGTGGTATGAGGGCTTGCTGCATTAATAACACTGCTTTTGTGCTTTGCAGGACTCTAGAGACTTTTTCAGAAGCTCTCAGTTATTGGTTTTACAGTTGTCATACAGAGTTTTTTCCCCCAGATCTTTTTGTCTTAAAATTCTGTTAATGTTGAGAGCACACCCTCCATTTTTATTTCCCTTTTTGTTTAGACTCCTAACTACTTCCTTCTGTTATAGTTCTATCATATCTCCTTGTGCTTTAATTTCAGTTTTTTTCATGGGAGTTAATTTGGGCAAGCAGTGATGGTTCTCCAGGAGTGACTAATTTGGAATACTTAACTAGGATTGCCTAGGGCTACAAGCTGAAGGTGCTGATCTAGGTTAGCACTGCAAAGCCTTGGTCCACAATAAAGTTTTGTTCAGATCCGTTAATGGTTCAAATCCATTTATCTACCTTTCTTTCTTGAAGTAACTTCACTCATATTTTTATATTCAGGGCATCTTTTTTCATGTGAAAGAAAAGTTCTGTGGAAAAACACTTCTAATGAAACAACCTTGATATCACTCTTGCATTTCACTTATATATATACTGAAAAGAAAAATCAGGAAAAATCAGTGGATATTGATTTATTTATTCTGTGCATTTATGATTTGATTTTAAAATTGTAAATTTTATATGTATAGGTATATATATACATTTAAACATGCTAATATTTCTTAGGAAGTTAAAAAAGTAGCCATTTCTGATTTTATCAGACTTTTATCATTAAAAGGTCATCTCAATTGTAGGTTTTTTTTTAATCCCATAACCTCATTCTGCTTATGGGATTAAAAAACTTTTTGATTTACATAGAAAATCAGGTGGTGAATGTACCTTTTCAGACTGGCATATAAAGAAACTGCCAGCATGGTTTGTGCTATATTCTGATTCTATACCTCTCTTGAAACTACAGATATAATTAAAAGCTAAATGTGATTTTATGCAAAGTGCAAAATTTCCAGCCAGTAAATAGGAAGAAGCACTTCTAGTTAAGCAGTGGCACAAATTTGGAAAATCATTATTTTCAAATAAGTTATTGCTGACATATTATAAAGACATCTTTCTTGTTCTGTGTAATTAAAAATATACTACAAAAAGCTTAACACTAATTTTTATTTCTATTTTAATAAACTTCTATAAATACTTAAATATTATATGTATTTCTTTTTCTAAGGTGGTTTGCTGGAAATGTTCTGACTACAAAGCACATCTCGAATATGATGGCAATAAATTGAACAAAGTCTGTAAAGATTGCTATCATGTTATAATTGGTTGTACAGACAGTGAAGAAAAGAAGAGGAAGGGCATCTTGGAGGTATGTAATTCCAAAATACTATATATGTATAGCTGCAATCTTTTTGGTTCATCAGTAGGTGGAAAATGGTAGCATTCTTGCAGAGTTTATTTCCTCTTTGAGAAATAAAAAGTATGTGGACCAATTTAATATAATTCCATAGATTTTGGTTTCCAGTACTCACCTTTGCAAAATTGCTTTGTTTCTTGCAACTTTACATTTATTAAGGGAATTATAAACCTTGGAACTTGTTTGCTTCTTTCAGTTGCATCAGCTCCTGTGACAAAATGTAACCTTCCCTTATAAATTTTCAGTTTTCTTCTTCTGCACTTAAGCTTTCATCACACCAAACCCTACTGCTACCAGTTGGTTTTTAAAAATATGTACCCAGACTGAAAGAACTGGGGGTGGAAACAAGGAGAATGGGGGAGAATTTTGCTCTTGCTTCAGAGTCTGAGTAGTAAGACACTGTTTTGATCAGTGTATAAAATGGGCCTTTAAGTTATCAGGTTGTCCTCAGCTTTTGGCATCTGAAAAGCCAAGGCCAATGGAAATTTTAGCACATAATTATTTTGTGTTCTTTCTTATCATCTCAAGTTCACGATTTAATTTGAGTAGCATTTCACTTTGTCTACAGGTTTTAAGCAATTCATCTAATCTTTTCTCTAGGATTAGTGCTTGAGTGCTTATGTTATTCTTAAAAATGTGTTTGAACTTGATTCTGTCGTAATATTTTGACTGCCAAAGTAGATAAGTTGTCATGTGGGATAGTCAGTGGCACTTCAGTGCCTAACATGGTGCTGTTTTGGAAATCAGACATTGTTGTAGATGCTCAGATACAAAGAAAGGCAGGCTGTGGTGGCAAAATGAAAATTGGAGTGATATAGGAGTCTACAATCCAAAGTTACTGATGAAAAAGGAACAGATTACACATGCTAAGGGAATGTGTGTTGTGATTGCATATGTTTAATATGTATATATTGTCCAAAAATCCAGTCCATGATCTTTCTTGGGTATTTCCTGAAGCCTTTTTGCAGATACTATCCAAGAGCTGATATGAATGGCAATATATTTCCTGCTTTTCTGTTCTTTGTTTTTAGTCTGTACTGAAGGAAAGTTTAGTTTCCTTTTTATGCTTTCTGCTGTCTCCTAGATTGAATCTGCAGAAGTCTCTGGAAACAGTGTCATATGTAGCTTTCTTCAGTACATGGAGAAGTCCAAGCCCTGGCAGAAGGCATGGTGTGTGATACCCAAACAGGAGGCTCTGGTGCTCTACATGTACGGTGCTCCACAGGTATGTACAGGGGAAATGGGAAAGATTTTAGTTAATTATTGTCACTGGTATTTGAGGAAGAGACAGCAAACAGCTTGGGAGTGGAGGAAAGATCCATGTGTTTTCACCAAACTGTACAGCAAATGAGAAGTAATGGGTAGATTAGTTGTTCTTAAAAAATAACAACAACTTCTTCTTCTTCTTCCTAGGATGTGAAAGCTCTGGCTACAATTCCTCTTCTGGGCTACACAGTGGATGACACTCCAAAAAGTGCTGACCTCCCCCACAGCTTCAAACTGACCCAGTCCAAGTCTGTGCACAGCTTTGCTGCAGACAATGAGGAACTGAAACAGAAGTGGCTCAAAGTTATCCATTTAGCTGTCAAAGGTGAGACACCAGAATGTCAAAATGAACTGCAGGTGAATTTAGAAGAGCAGCCTGAATCTTCTAAAAGATCTGAATGCTGAAGCACAGGAACACATGGCATTTTTTAAAAAATTTTAGTTGAAATTGTGGTTAACCTTTGTGTTAACCTTTCTCTGTTCAATCAAGGAAAGAAAAAAAGAAAAAAAAAAGAAAAAGAAAGTTCTTACTACCATACACATCTTGGCACTTTATGTTTGGGAAAGAATTCTGGTCTTTTTAGGGATCTTTTTCTTATATTTATGTTCTGTCAATAAAAGTGATGTACAGGTCCATTTCAGAGACTTTTTAAAAAAATGTGAATGCTATTAAAAATACTTACTAACTTTACTGTACTACTTGTTTGTTGTAATGCAATTTTTTTAAATCCAGTTGCTCTTCAGTTAACATTTAAGAATGCAAATATTTGAAGCCTCCTACTTACATGTTAGGACTTGCAACAGGATAAAAGATATACCTCCACATTGCCAAAATAGATCTGTACTTAAATATGCAGGGACAGTTTGGTTCGATGTATGTAGTTTATAGATTGATTTCCACAGTTCTGTACATATGTTGTATTCACTTGTATCTTTTTAATTAAAGTAATGCAAATTGCTTTCACAGGTATATTGGCTTTTAAGGTTTCAATTTATCAAGGAAACAATCTAATGATTTTCAATGTAGAAATAAATACCTAAAATATGAGAAAACTATATATAATATATGTACAGTATTAAAAATGTACAATACTTGATTATTGCTTTGATTTCATGATACTGGGTTCTTATTAGTGAATAATTTATTTTTTAAAAAGCATGTTTTCTATTTGAAATTAAATACAGTCCTAAATTGAAAAATACTGTTCAGTGATTTGTTTTAATAGCTGACACTTAATGATCTTGACATTTTTATGCATCAAAGAATTGACAGTAATGTAAGTGGCATGCAATGGACAAATGAGTTCCAGTTGTGTTTAAACAAGTAGTCGCTTTTCTTCAGTGTCCTATCACTGTTAGCTTTTAAGAGTGCAGTAGTTTGTTGCTCAAATGCAGTATGTGGTTTGAGAAAAGCAACAGATTCTAGTAACCTTCTGGGAATGTGTATTTTTGCTATTATGGTTATTGGAGCAAAAGAACAATTTGAACTTAAGGTTTTTAATTTTTGTAGAAGATTAGGTATTGTAATGCTTATTTATGACAACAATCTTCAAGGATTCTTGTTTTAAAGTGGAGCCTGGTTTATAAAAATTTAGTATGAAGTCTGAGCTTGCAAATCTGAAATTTTCTGAACTAACATTATTTGTTTCCTGTTCCTGGGTATAAGGACTCATTGGCTTTACAATATTAAGTTCCTTATGAACTTCCATTCCTATTAAGAGTTTTTATACATAGAGACAAATGACTTCCATAAAATTTTTACTGTAATATCCTTGAGTGAAATATGGCAAACTCAGAGGTAGTGATTGACTATCAATTAAAATCATTGCTGTCTTTCCTTTTAGAAACCATTTAAGGAAGAAAAATACGTAACTTCTACAATCGGCTTATCATAAGAACTTTCAGAAGTCTTACTTCTCAATGAATCTGCAATCTGTGTTTTAAATCATGTCAAGCTGAAGAGCTCAGGTTCAATTTTGTTAGTAACATGACAAATTTAAATTGTTGGGTTTTTATAATGAGTTTGCCAAGCAAACTATCCACTGAACTCCTACTCCTGCTTTACTCTTTCTGCAACATTATAGGGAAAAAAAACCCAACTCATTTTGCATTTAGCAAGGGATTCATACCTGTTTGTAGTGTCAGGCACACATGAGCATGCCGTGTCATCATTCCTTCATAAAAATGTCATGTAAGTTAATGTTAGTGGGAAGGATTTTGCTCTCCCCTGCACAGATCCAGGATCTAACATATCCTTTAGATTCCACAGCTTTACAGCAGTGTTAATAATGATCAGGACATGGTATGGTACTAACTCTCCAGCTGACTTGGTGCATGTCCATTCTGAATTCCCTTCCTTGGGTGCTCCCTGGATCCAGATTGCTCTGGATATAACCCTGGTATTGCTTTTATCTGATGTGCAAGCTCTTCTGTAATTCTCTTTGAGATTTCAAGTTACTTCTACTGGCAGCTGTGTATACCTTTAGCAATAGGCAGCTCAAGCCTGGTTTGATTCATGTTGGTGAATACCATCAGGTTTTTGCCAAGGTAATATAAAATCTCCCTAGCTAATACATGTAATCTTACATACACCTTGGCAAGGGGTGGGGAACATTCAGGTAAGCAAGCAGAACTCTTGGTGGCTCTCTTTCCTTCATGGCCATCTCCCAAGGGTGAATATCTTCTACAAGAGCCTCAAGTGCAATTGTGGGATATGGAGAGCTTTCTTTCCACATCCCAAAGTATAAAAACAGTTTCCCATGGTCAAGGTATGGAGTGTAAAGGAAGGAGTTGCTTTAAAGGAGTTCTCAGATAGGAAGGACTGAGCTATAATGAAAATATGATTATATGACTGTAGAGTTAATTAGGTTGGAAAAGCCCTCTAAGATCACTGAGCCAACCATTGCCCAGCACTGCCAAGTCCACCACTAAACCATGTCCCTAAGTGCCACATCTACATGCCTTTTAAACACCTTCAGGGATGGTGACTCAACCCTTTCCCTAGGCAGCCTGTTCCAATGCTTCAACTCTGTTGTAGTGACAAAATATTTTCTAAAATCCAATCTAAAACTCCCCTGGTGCAACGTGAGGCCATTTCATCTTGTGCTATTGCTTGTTTCTTGGGAGAAGAGACCAATCCCCTCCTTGCCATCATCTCCTTTCAGGGAGTGATAAGGTCCCTCCTAAGCCTTCTTTTCTCTAGGCTGAACACCCCCAGCTCCCTCAACCACCTCTCACAGGACTTGTGCTCCAGACCCTTCACCAGCTCTTGTTGCCTTTCTCTGGGCCCTTTCCAGCACTTCCACGTCCTTCTTATTCTGTCTTTCATGTCCCAGAACTGGACATGGCATTTGAGGCACAGCCTCACCCATGCCAAGTACAGGGGACAACCACTGGCCTGGTCCTGCTGGCCACACTCTTGCTGGTACAGGAGACAGTCTGGTCCTGCTGGCCACACTGTTGCTGGTACAGGGGACAGTCTGGTCCTGCTGGCCA